TGCACTTTTTAAAGATTTTTATTACATACTTAAAATTTACACATTAATTATTAAGTGCCTGCTTCTGCTTGTGCCCTTCCAAGCCACATGAGGTATTCCCTCCCTTTTCTTTTTATCTCCGGCATTTTAGATTTGCAAAACTAATAGAGAGGGGCATTGAGTCATCATTTTACAGGACCTGAAACTGCCAGCCTCTGGTGGTGAGGTGGGGCACTCAGCGCAGTGTTCCTTGGACACCTACGTGGAGGCGGGGGACAGCCAACTCCAAGGAATGCTACCTGTTAATGCAGTGCTGGAAGCCTGGGAAGAATCCCAGAGGTCCTGGGGTATCAGAAGGATATGTGTGTGACAGTTTTCAAGGGAAAATGACCATGTTAGGTCACCCATCTTCGCTACACACACATATGCATGTATATGCATACATATTACTTTATATTATAGTAGTATATGTAAATATACTATATATGTAGTAGTATATATATAGTAGTATATGTGTCAAAGCAATAAAGAAGATTTTGCTCACATAAGAGGGCCAGAGATAACATAGTTTCAGTTTCAGTGTTGGATAATTTGGCTGCCTTACAATGACATCAAAGACTGATGTTTTTCATTTTCTGCTCTGCTCTTTTCAATTTATAGGCTACTGCCTTCAGTTGCAAAACAGTTGCAGCAGCTCCAGACAGCAGATTTGCACATAACATCCAAAGGTGAAAAGAGAGAAGAAAGCTCTCTTAGAAGACCCCTAGGTTTGCCCTCACATGCCGCTGGCCAGAATTATGTCACATTTTCATTCTTAGACCAGTCACTAGCAAGGAGAATGGAATTCTTATGATGGACTTAAACTAGTTAAGATTTATTCACGACTGGTCAGCAAAGAAGAGAAGGGGTAGATAATGGTTTCTGCCACTTTTTAGCTTATTTGCAGAATATGTTTAATAACAATACTTAGAGTTGCTGTGAGGATTTAGTGAGTTAAAGTGCTTACAGTAGTGCCTAGCACATAATAAGTGCTTAGAAAGTGCTGTTATTAAATACTGGTTTGTTGTACAGATGAGAAAGTGGGTTCAGAAAGCTTGAGTGCCTATGTTTCAGGCCTGAGACTAGAATTGAGTCCTGTATGACTCCAGATGCACACTTTCTACTGCACCGGCTGCCAACGTTGGAAGTAGGCAGGCATGGCACCCCAGCTCTCCAACTTGAGGGTAGATGGGATGATCTGTCCAATATGATTAAGTCTGCCTTGCTTTCCAGAATTGCCCCTCTGCATGAAAAATTTGAAGCCCATGAAAGTAGAGCCCGGAGCCCCTAGGATCCTGGCCTCTTAACCGTCACCACTACATCCAGAATTCTACAACCAGCCTGTCTCTAGGACTTTGAGTGAGATCTCTCACAGCTGGCACTAGGTTGAGGGTTCCTTTTTACCAAGGCTTGGCCTGTAAGCTGATGAGTTGCTATAGGGCCCTCCAAGCATGGCCACAAGGCCCACCCAGCAGCTGGGGAAAAGGCAGAGTGCTAGAGAAGTGGGCTGACTAGCTGGTGTGGTGGAGCAGTTGGGATTGACAGGAGTGGGAGCTCCAGCAGTGGCTCTTCAGCCCAAGGAGAAGTCAGGTCCCAGGAAATGTGCCCCCAAACTGCAGCCTAAACCTAGGTCAGGTCAGCACTATGACATTCAGCTGCCAGGGCCTCCTTGTGCTTTTCTATCTCCCTCCCTGTACCCTCTTGCCCTACAGTGATACTCCCTTCCCTTGGGGCCCTGGCCGTACCCCACAAACTCAGCTCACAGCTGCCACAGGTGGGCCCCAGTCCCTCCAGCTGTTGGGCCCAATCTTCATGTCATATCCTGAGATTAATTGGTTAATGGGAGGGTCTGGGATGTATGAGTCGGAGTGGATCTGCCTTGTCTCAGCTTCTTAACGTCAGAATCCAAGGGCCCCAGAGAGATGCAGCAGCCAGAACAGCAAGAGGTAAGAGAGGACTGATACAGTGGGATGGCACGGGGAGGTTCAGGGTGAGGCAGTTGGGGAGCTAGAGCCATGATGGACAGAGCTGAGAGGGAGGAGAAGGAAATACATTCGCTTAGGGTCCCACAAAGGATTGGAGCTGAGAGGTTCAAAGGCAGAAGTACACATTTTGGTATTGAAGGAAACCAAGTTTTGGGACACCCTAAGAGTGTCCATGTGTCCCAAATAGGAACAGGACATTGACTTGTGCACTTATCCACCTTGAGGAGAGAAAAGGAATAGGCCCAGACATCTTCGTTTTGTTTACCTGGGGTGTCTGCTCTTCTAACTCTGTGTGTGTGCCTGTGTGGGTGTACAGTTATCCATGTGCTGCCAGAGTGGAGGGGAGCTAATGGTTATAAAGTATCTATCTCCCCAGTGTCAGCCACAGTGCTCAGAGTTTTACTTATGTTTTCTCATAATCCTCACAACAAAATTGTGAGGTAGATATTTTAATCTCCATTTTATAGCAGAGAAGACAGGCTCAGTGAAGCTAAGTAATTTGCCCAAGGTCACATGGCAGATAAATGTGTGTATCCAGAATCTGCCTGATTCCAGGGTCTGTGCTCTTTTTGATTTTCTGTCCAAAGTTCTGAGTGAGACCCAGAACTTCTTTGTGGTCAGAAGCTGAGGGGGTAGGAAACAGGTGGGAAGGCCTGAGTTGTGAAACCTTTTTCACCTTGCCCAAGGTACTCCAGGCAAGCCTCAGGAGAGAACCTCCATCAAGACAAGTCCAAGGTCACTATGCATAGGTCACTATGATCCTGTCCTCAGGATCAGTGCATCACAAGACCTGCCGTCCATCCATGCCCTGTTCCCTCCCCCATTGATCTGGATGGCTTGGGCTCTTTCTGGGAAGGATTCTCTATATCCCAGCCTGGTTTCTCTGGAACTGCTGGTTGGCTCAGGCTTGCTTGGGCTTCCTGCAAGTGCCTGTGCCCCCCACGTAGCTGAACCACACTCCCTCTGTGAGGGGCACCTCCACCCTCCCAGTCACCAGGTTGGAAATCTCCCAGCTATCTGGGACTTTTGTCCCCCTCATTTCCCACAGCTTGTCAACACACTCACCTTTATAACCATTAGCTCCCGTCCACTCTGGCAGCTATCTGGGACTTTTGTCCCCCTCATTTCCCACAGCTTGTCAACACACTCACTCTACTTCAAACAACTCTGGAGTCCATCCCCTCCTCTTCATCCCTTCCACTTCCGATGCGGGCTGAGCTCAGTCCTCATCCCCTCTAATGTGGACTTCCTCTCTTCTAGTGTCTCTTCCCAGCAAGGTGTGAGCACGAGGGGACTGACGGGAGGTGGGGGTCTAGGGGGATGGTATGAGGGCTTCTTTTGTGACTAGCCTCCGCAATGACCTCTCTTCCTCTCCCTAAAGTCCGAGATGAACTGCAGTTTGGGGGATCTGGGTATTGGCAGCTGCAGTCCCTGGGATGACCTCACTCACTTCATTGTGGTGCCTGCGGCCTACAGTGTGGCGCTGGGCCTGGGGCTGCCGGCCAACCTGACTGCCCTGGCATTGCTTAACAGCGGCAGGCACTGGGCCGGGTGCTGTGTCTCCCTGCTCAAGCTGGTCTTGGCTCACGTGTTCTTTACGCTCACACTGCCGCTGTGGCTCACCTACTACCTGGGCCAGGCCCACTGCCCCTTCCCGGAGGCCGCCTGCCACGCACCTGCGGCTGCCTACTATGAGTTCACGTACGCGGCGGTGGCCTTAGCCGCGTTCATCACCTTGTGCCTTTGCGGCTCCGCGCGCCAGCCGGAACACAGGGCGGCCGCCCGACTTGTGCTGCACGGCCGCGCCCCACCTGTGCCGCCACGGGGCTCCCCCGGCCGGCGGCGCCTCTCGCTGTCCGGAGCACAGCCGGGCGCGCCCAGGTCTGGCCTATGCCACCGTGGTCTTCTTCGCGGCCGCCTTCCTGCTGGTGCTCGCGGCCTTCGTGAGCCTGGCGCGGGCGCTCGCGGCGCCCTCGGACCCGGGCCTGGCCGGTCCGCACCGGCGCGGCCAGGACCGTTGTACTGGGGCTCCTGCTCGTCCTCTCCCTCTGTCTGGCGCCCTACCACATGCTGCTGGCGTCCTGCGTGGCCAGGCAGGAGGGCGCCACCGGCGGCGACCAGGGCGGTGCCGGGCCTCCTCCACGCTCGACGTCCTACCTACACTCAGCCTGGCGCTGCTGAGCCTAACAGCTGCCTGGACCCCCTGGTCTACTACTGCTTGTTCATGCGCTGCTTCCGCTAGGACCGCTGGGCGCTGAGTTGCCGCCTGGGGGTGGGGGTCCGGGACGCACGGGTCCCCCTTTGCCTCTTTCTAGAAATATTCTGGCCTTCACGCCAGCTTTACCTCTGCCAACCTCCTAGTGGTATCCTAGGTGGACAAAGCTTTTTGGAAGGACCTAGATTCCAATTCTGACGCAACTGCATACTAGCTGCAGTAGCAGTAGAGTGCCGGGCGCCTCTGTGAAAAAGGGATAGAATATTCTTTGTAACCAGA